TCACTCACCACCGACCAAGTCACTCACCACCGACCAAGTTACTCACCGACCAAGTCACTCACCGACCAAGTCACTCACCGACCAAGTCACTCACCATGTCACGAGCATGGCCATGACGTGAAAACCTCCTAACGACGACGCTTACTAAACAGAATTCCACCAAGGCAAACACTCCAGCCTCCCCTCTAAGGCAGACCAAAACGGATTCCCCAAGCGACTGCCGTGCGTACTCTCTGGTCAATCAACTGGGCCGTAGAACTTCAGTAAGCGCGTCCGATCGGCTACCGTCTGCAACCGGGGATAGGTCCCACTTCCACGAATTAAGAGATACGGACCGTAGATTGCAAAGATCAACAGTCGAAATCTCCTAATTTGCGCAAGGGGGACGTTGCCCACGAATAGAACACTACCGGTGATTGAAACCGTATTTGGTCCGAGTTTCAGTCTCCATACAGATACAATGACCGGGCGTTCTATTCGGGTGAAGACGGGTAGCGGACGAGGACGCAGAGCGGACGTAAGACGGTTCCCAGCACTCTCACCTTGCCACGACTACTCGACAGCAGCTTGAAGACCCGATCGTCAGTATGATTCCTAGCACTCTTGCCTCGCCACGACTACTCGAAAGCAGCTTGAAGATCGAGTCGAGAGTGACGTATATATAGGGAATGCCGGGCAAGGGGGGGAAGGAGCAAGGCTGAAGGCAATCCTCCACTCAACAGCCCGAGTGGCTGATGGCACAACACACACCTGGGCAGAGGTCCCATTAGCGAAGAGGATCGGATCGAATGCCTGAATGTGGACGTGTTCTACGCAGAGATGCAGAAAAGAGGTTCAATCTCGATTTCCTGCACCTCTCCACAAGCACGTCCAGATTCAGGCATTCGATCCGATCCTCTTCGCTGGTGGGACCACGCTCCTGTGACTGTTAGTAAACAGAGCGTGAGTTAGAGTCCTGGGATGGAGTGCTCCCACCAGCAGAGTGGATCGGATCGAATGCCTGAATCTGGTCGAGGTTATGGAGATGTGCAGGAAATCGAGATTGAACTGCTTTTCTGCATCTCTGGGTAAAACACATCCAGATTCAGGAGCTCGATCCTATCCGTTTTGCCAGTGGGAACTCGGCCCTGGAATCGAACGAATAGTGTCAAAGGAATACGATAACATTTTTATTTTATTGTTTTTGGAGGAATACGCTAACATTAGCGGCTAACCTCTTTTGTTTTTCCTTTTTTTTTCCTTTATAAAGCTAACCTCTTTTTTTTTTTCATTTTTTTTTTCAGAAAGCTAACCTCTTCCAAGATAGAGGAAGACGTCGGGGCATACTCAGGGCGAGATCCCACTGACAAAAACGATTGGAATAGGTGTCAGAATCTGGACGTGTGTTGTGGAGAGGTGCAGAAAACTGTAATTGATCTGATTTTCTGCATGTCTGCGTGGAACATGTCCCGATTCAGACACTTATTCCAATCATCTTTGCCAATGGGATTTTTGCCCTCACACTGCCCAGTAGCACTCTCCTATGCTGTGAGTAAAAAAGTATGCCCTCAGTCAATTGAGCCGTCTTCTTCTTCTTCTTCTTCTTCTTCTTCTTCTTCTTTTTTTTTTTTTTTCGTCGATCATAGCACACGTCAGCCAAAGGATCCATAATCGAACCTCAGATCCAAGAAAGGGGGGAAAAAAAAAAAGAAAAAAAAAAAAAA